CGGGAGCCGGAGCGGGGAACGGGAGTCCGGGGGCTGGCGGAGCCCGGACCGGAGCCGAGGGGCAGAGCCAGGCAGCAGCCTGGGCTGAGGCGGCTGGCGCTGCGTCCCTGCGAGGTGAGAGCGCGGCCATGCCGCGCGCGGGCCCCGCTACGACGAGATTGCGCGGTGCCCTCCTGGGTTGGCCGGGGAGCCGCCCCGTCGCGACCGTCACGGCCTCAGCCCTGACCTGAAAGTTGGCCGAGGGCCCCCCACCCCGCTAGTCTGCACACCAGTGCCTCCAGCCACCTTTGTTCACTTTCGCACATCAGCCCGGGTCCCCTCAGTGACAGCTTGTGGCACGCCCCAGCCCCCCAGCCCGGACCCCCAGTAACTGCGCTTTCTCTTTCCCTCCGCAGATGGACGGGGCAGAAGGCAGTGCTGGGCAGCCCGGCCCCGCCGAGCGGTCCCATCGAAGCAGCGTGTCTTCCGTGGGAGCCCGAGGTGGGTCCCTGTCCCCATCTCCCTGCTACACCCTCCTTGGGCCCCCAGACTTCGGGAAGTGGCCCTGCCTTCTCATCTCTTTCATTAAAAAGAATCATATGTGTTAATTAAAATGAAGTATGTTGAGATGTGGAAAAGTGACCAGTCAATCAGAGGTCTTGGGCTCTGTTACTAGGCTATATAAGTTGGGTACTCTTCTTGAGTCTCCCTTTCCTCATTTGTAAAATGCGCTTGTCACACATAGCTGTGAAATTCAAAAGAAATCTTATGAATGAAAAGTGACACATTCACTTTCTTTGTTGGATTTCTTTCACACAAACACCCTTTTGAAAGCAGGGATCATTATCTTCATTTTATGGGAGGGAAATTGGGCCCTGGAGAGGTTGTCACAGGATACTGGAGCCTTCAGTGCCTCGGTTTTCCCTACCTGAAAAGTGGGTCTGAATCGCATCCTCCTGGAGATTATTTTATGATCTCTCATGAAACTAGCTTGGGGGGAAAAAGAAAGTAGCTTGAGAAAGTCTGTTGGGGAACAGACTGGTTACCCACAAAGCACCCTCACATGTATTAATGATAAACTGTGCCCTTGCCTTTCACAGGCTTCACCCCATTTGGTTCACAGCCATTCTTTGAGGGAGGGGTATTAGCCCTGCTGTACAGGTGAGGCACTCACACTGACTTGCGGGAGCCAGCCAGCTAGCCAGGAGCCAGGCAAGGGTTGGAATCCCAGTATACTGGCCTCCAAGCTCAGTGCTCCCTCATGGTAGCTGTGGTTCCAGGGATGGATTTGAATCTGGCTGCTCTTCCAAGGGTCTCTCTTGGACTCTGGGTTCCAAATAGGAAATCCCAGAGGCTGTCACAAGGGAATGCTCGGGAATGCTCAATTTATACTTCCCCTGGCCTGACTAAGACTATCCTGAAAGGCCATGGTACTGAGTTCTGAGGCTTGAAGAGTCCTAAGGAAGCTGAGCCCTGGATCTTGCTTTGCCCTGGGGTGGCCTTGAATTCTTAGTTCTCGGCTTAGCCAGAGAGAGAGACAGCAACTTGCCCTAGGGTAATAGTGGGTCACCAGCCTGATACGCTAACTGCGGTAATCTCACGATGGATTCAGCCTATCTGCCTCAGTCCCCACCAATGGGATGTTCTCCTTCAGGGAAGAAACACAAAAGAGTCCTGGGGAGTGTTTAGGGGTGCAGTGGCCAGCCCTAATTTGAACCTTTGGGGTTTAGGGTGGGGCTAGGCCAGTCCCTGCGGCAGAGTTGCTGGGTTTCTGAGTGGTTTGAGCCTTTTGAGTAAGTCCTAACAGACAGCACTCTTCATAGGGCCCTTTGAGGATGCTGAGGCTCTGCCTCTGGAGTGTGGCCTTGTTCACCCAAGGGTGTAGAGTGGGGGCTCCAGCCCCAGTTGGGGGTGGAGGATGCCTGATGGCCATGCCTGTGCCTGGGCACTGCATCGAGCTGACCCTGCCTGGCTTCCATTGCAGCAGCTGATGTGCTGGTGTATCTGGCTGATGACACTGTGGTGCCCCTGGCTGTGGAGAACCTGCCATCCCTCAGTGCCCATGAGCTGCACCGCACCATCCGTGAGGTCCTGCAGCTCCCAGACATTGCCCTGGAGACCTTTGCACTCTGGCTAGTCTCCCCTCTGCTGGGTAAGGCTTGGCAGTGAGCCCAGGCGGGAAGATGGGAATGGTGCTGATCAGTGGAGAGGGAGAGGGCAGCTTCCAGAACCTGTGGCCACTGTACATCAGGGGAAGGTGGGACTTGTGTGTGTCCTGAGCTGTCCAGCCTTTTGAGGACCCAGAGAGCCCTGAGAGGATGCCTGGCTCTTCTGCCCCCACCTCCTTTCTTTCTGCTGGTGGCAGAGGAGGGCCTGAGCCTCAGCAGTCTGGAGCTTGGGGCATCGGGAGGAGCAGGGCTAAAAGACAAGGAGGGAGGTGGTCTGCATCGCTGAGCACGTGGTCTGTTCCGCAACCTGAGCTGGCATTGCGTGAGCAGAATTTTACCCGATCATGCCTCAGCCCTGTCTTGCAGATGACGAAATTGAGGTTTGGAGTGGTGGGACCAGTGAGTGGTAGGACCGAGGTCAGAATGGAAGCCTGGCTGGCCCCCAGCTGACCTCTTTGAACTGCATCTGCTCTTGAGGGCAGGGAGGAGGATGATACTGAGTCCGGAAGCCGCCACCCTTGACGATGAGACTTTTCCTGAGGGTGGGGAAGGCAGGACGAGTGGGAACTCCACTTCTCTGCTAGAAGGTCTCTAGCCCTGCCTGGTTTCTGGCCTGTGACCACCAATGTTTTGCCCTTTCAGGCTGAGGTTCCCAAGGCAGGGATGGAGTGGGAGGGAAGGTGGTGGCTCTCCAGACCCTCAGGCCTGGGAGAGGGTGCTGGGAGTTCCCTGGGCCTCCAGCCTACTGGCTTGGACAGGAAGGGGGTCGGGGAAAGGATGCCCTAACTGGTGCTAGGGCCAGGCATGTTTCCTGAGCTTAAACGTTCTCCTTCCTTGTAGAGAAATAGGGGCAAAAGGGGGGTGACTGGTCCCTGCGGCCCCTAGTGGTTGGGGTTTGTGCCTCTACCCTGGAGGGGGGATATCAGCTGGCTTGGTGGGAGAGAGAGTGCCTGTCCCCCCCACACCTGCCCACCGGTTGGAGCTTCCTGCCCAGCTGCGCTTTCGCCCACCCTCTTCCTGCTGACTAGTCTCCTCCAGCTGCTCCCACCCAGCTCAGCTGCCCCTCTTTCACCCTCCAGGCTGTTGCTGGTTGGGTCTGTGGGCCCCTTGGTTTGTGGCTTTGAAAAGCTGGGGGTGGCGATTCCTTGTGGCCGGCCCTGCCCCAGGCTCCCTGTTCCTGTAGCTGGACAGCTTGTTTCCTCCTCCCACTTCCTCTGCTCCCACTCCCTCCTCATCACATTCCTGCTCCCCCTCAGGGACATGAATGGGCTGCCTGTGTGGCCCTGCTGGCCTGGTCACCCTGGGGTACTGCCTCTTCCAGGAGGAGGGTGGCTAGAGGCCCAGCACTAAGTCAGTGCCCACTTTGTTCCCTCGCTGGGTTCAGGGAGACTGAAAAGCTACTTCAGCTTTGACTCTGCCCCTCAGGACCTTTGCCCCACCCCCACCCCCGAGTGGGTGAAGCACTCGCAGATGCCCCAGGGCTGTGAGGCAGGGAGGGGGCACTGTCTGCCTGAGCCGCCCTTCCTTTGAGCTGGATGTTTGGGTTTGGCCTTCTCAATGCTATTGTCACTATACATGGAACAGGGCTCCAGGGACAGTTGGTCTGTTTGGGTGACAGCTTCCAGGCAGAAAGGCCCCATCTGGAAGTGTGTCAGACCCTGTGGTCAGCGTAGTTCCGTTCTGACAATGGAAGTCCTCTGAGCTGCTGGGCTCCGGGTTTAAGGCTGGCCGGGGCTAGGCCATAGGCAGAAGGAAGGTCACCTTTGCCTCAGGTCCACTTCCACAGTGCATCTAGGGGTCATAGCTAGTCAGTTACCTCATTCATCTCACAAGTATGTGTGGAGCCCACACTTCATTCTGGGCAGAGATTTAGATGCTGGGATTACAGTGGGGAGCAGGATCAAAGGTTTCCCTGCCCTCAGGGAACTTGTAGTCTAAAGTGTGGAGCAGGAGGCTCAGTGGGCAGAGCTCTGTTCTGGTTCAGCCACTAACTCTGGTGGCCTTGGGCAGGCACTGTCCTTCTGGGCTTCAGTGAGTCCAGATCGAGAGTGTGCTCAGAGGGTCGGGCAGAGTGGGTGGGGTTGAGGGAGCCCTTTCTGGAGGGGAGAGGGTGCTGCTGCACATGGTATGTTCCCCTCCTGGGGAATGGTGGGGCAGGGGTGGTTACACATGGGTATAGCCAAGGATCTAGGTTGGAAACGAGGGCTGTGGAGCCACTAGGAAATCTGGATCAGAGAAATGATGGGAGAAGAAGGGTGTGAAGAAGCCGAGTGCAGCCCTGGCCGGTGTGGCTCAGTTGGTTAGGCGTCGTCCCGAGCACCCAAAGCTTGTGGGTTCGATTTCTGGTCAGGGCACATGCCCAGGTTTCAGGCTTGATCCCTGGTAAGGGGCATGCAGTAGGCAGCCGATCAATGTTTTGCTCTTACATCAATGTTTCCCTCTCCGTTTCTCTCTCTAAAATCAATAGAAAAAAATTAAAGTGGCTTTTACTTAAAGAAGAAGAAGCAGCAGCAGCAGCTGAATGCAGAGGTTGGATGGAAGGGGCTGTAGGCAGGGAGGGAGGCCACTTTGGAGTCTGTGGCTGCTGTTTTGGGTTATGATGAGGGTCCAGATGGAAGTCCAGAGAACAGAGGCAAGGACCCTTGTCATCAGGTTGGCAGGACAAGGTGCCTGGCCCTTTGGTGGGAAAGGAGAAGAGGGAAGATAAGGCTCAGAAGGCAGGGGTATCTAATTGATAGCGTGGACACTACCTTTGCCCCTTCCTGCTCCCCCTGGCAGCCATCCGCATTCATCACCAGATGATCTTGAAAATGGCCTCAGACTTCTCAAAGGCTATGGACTGCAGTGTACAAGATGAAAATGCTTTGTCATTCCTGGACTGAGCCGTTGAATCCTAGGGCCAGCTGACAGTTCCGGGTTGAGGGGCCAACCTGTGGTGAGGGCCCGTGGTGACCCAGGGGTACAGCAGTGCTCCTGCCCTGTGGCACTCAGGCTAGTGGGGACACAGGGAGGTGATCAGATAGTGCTAACCTCTGTAAAGTCAACCAAATGGGGTACAGCCTGTGCTGAGCACTGTAGGGAACAGTCAAAGGCTGCCTCTGCTGTGCGACTTTGAACAAGCAACTTAACCTCTCTGAGCCTCTTTTTCTCTATGGATGAAATGGGGAGAGGGTTATTGCAGAGTATACCCCTAAAATGGTTCTGGACACTTAGTACCTGCTCAGCTAACATTGGCTGTGACTGCTGTCACGTTGCTGTTGGTGGGTGGCACTGGTAATTGTGTGTGCCTCAGGGCCACGTGCCTGCTCTTCCTCCCACCTGCACTGGCAGAGTCTGCATGGGCCGCTTCCCTCTCTTCCTGCAGAGGTGCAGCTGAAGCCCAAGCACCAGCCCTACAAGCTGGGCCGCCAGTGGCCAGAGCTGCTGTTGCGCTTCACTGATGCCCCGTTCGATGACGTGGCCACAGGTGAGTGTGTTCCTTTGAGCCCCCATCTCAGGGCCACCTGGGTCTGGAGAACTGACTCCCAGCCCAGCCAGGCCTCCGGTGGCAGATGGAGCTGCCCCTGCTGAGGGGCAGGGCCAGCATCTTCCCCAGGCCCCATTAGCCTCTCCTGGCAGGGAGCCCCGGGGTCCCTGAGGGGAGCCTAGGAGAAGGTGGGCTGGGAGGTCAGCGAGCATGTTGAGATAAGCCACACCCCCACTCTCTGGACAACCCTGTGGCTTTCTCTGTCGTGGGTGTGTGAGCCTGAGGATTGGGGACTGGCCTGTCAGGAGAGGGCTGGGCAGTGACCCCAGCCTCTCCCCCCAGATGAGCCTTCCCTGCAGTTCCGAAGGAACGTGTTTTTCCCAAAGCGACGGGAGCTCCAGGTGAGGCAGCGAACCCCAGGCAGGTCTGGTGCCCTGTGTTTAGCCTCCCCTTGTCCCTAGACCCCTGGTCACTGGTGCCCTGACTTAGCTGAGCAGCCCCTCCCTGCCTCACAGATCCACGACGAGGAGGTCCTGCGGCTGCTCTATGAGGAGGCCAAGGGCAATGTGTTGGCGGCACGGTACCCATGCGACGTGGAGGACTGCGAGGCCCTGGGCGCCCTGGTGTGCCGCGTGCAGTTCGGGCCTTTCCAGCCTGGCCAGCCTACAGCCTGCACCCTGAGGTGAAGGCCAGCATGACCTGAGGCAGGGTGGGAGAGGTGTCCCAGAATCCTACTTACAATGGTCTTAGGTCTTGCAAGGTCCCAGTCAGGAGGCCTCAGCCCCAGGGCTGGCCCTGACACTGTGTGGCCTAGAGTGAGTCACCCCCCTCTCTGAGTCTTCTTTTCCTCATCTGCCCTGGGTTGAAGAGGCCGGGCAGGGGAGACTTGGGTGGAGGACATCTGTGAGAGGCGCCCCAGCCCAAGGAGCCCTCGCTTGTGTGTGGATGGAGGTCATCCTTGGGCTGAGGTCAGGAGGGAGCTGGGCGTGTTCATTTGTAGTCAGTCAGGAACTGTGTAGGGCACAAATGATGAAAATGCCACAGCAGCACTGAGAAGGGTGGGCAGTCCCCTGGAGACCCCTCCTGCCACCCTGCGGTTGGGCCTCCAGGCCAGCACCAGCACCTCAGCCCGCCCTCTGGACCAGCTGCCCTTCCCCCAGCCCTGCTGGGCCCCGGCTGCTTGATCGTCCAGAAGCCCGGCAGGGCCTTTCCCTCGGTGGAAATGACAACTCAGTGATGCTTGTTTAGCATGTGCTAGTGCCCTTCCATGCGAGCAGATGTCAGTGTCCCTAGGTGACACGTGGGGAGCCGAGGCTTGGCGGGGGCGCTTGGTGCTCAAAGGCCAAGGCTCCAGCTGTGGTTTATGCAGAACGGCCAGTGTGCGGCCACATAGTCCCTGGGCTGCCCAGGGTGGGAGGGACATAGTCACGCCCAGATTCTTTCCTCTGTGTGATTGAAAATGTCTTTTCTTTCATGAACCTGAGCCGATGGATTGTAGGTCTTTTTTTGCATCCCTATTTGGCAGAACAAAACATCAATAGTTCTGGGCCACTTGTACCGTTTTTTGGTTGTGTTCCTAGCTCAGGAATCCAAACCTTCCCTTGCTCGTGACCCAGCTGTCGCTATGAAACGCTCCAGCCGTAGACTGGTTCTGGGGCAGGTTGGGCTCTTCTGCCCGTCTCCCGCCTTCTCCTTCAGGTCCCTTGCCGGTCAGGCGTGCTGCGGGGATGACAACAGTAGGGTCCCTTGGCAGTCCATGTCCACCCCCCGCCATGAGCGTGCTCGCGCTAAGGACCTTGGCACCTCTAGCCAGCCCGCAGCCATGGAGCCTCATGCTGAGCATCCGTCTTCCTTCCTCCACAGGGAGCAGCTGGACTCCTTCCTCCCTGCCCACCTGTGTAAGCGGGGCCATGGGCTCTTCGCTGCCCTCCGGGGCCGTGGGGCCAAGGCTGGGCCCAGCGAGCAGGGCCTGCTCAACGCCTACCGCAAGGTGAAGGAAGAGGCCAGCGCCAGCGAGCGCGAGGCTTCCCTGAGGACCCACTACCACGCCTACCTCACCAAGTGCCACGAGCTTCCCTACTATGGGTGAGCATTCTCCTGGGCAGCCACAGCGCTGGGGTCTCCTGTCCCACGACATCCCTCACCTTTGCCAGAGTGACCTGCCAGCAAGCCTCTCTCTGCTCCAACCAAGCTCCATCCTCATGTGAGGTGCACCTCAATGCCAGCACCTCCAGCCCCACGGGTCCCAAGCTGGACACTTGTCCTTCCCTTCCTCGTGTCACAGACCAGGACAGCCTGGACAGGTCCTCTCCTTCCACTTGCACCCGTTACTTGGCCAATAGACCTGCTGACCTTCCCTCAGCCAGTGCTCTCATGCGTGCGGTCACCCTCTAGCTGGTATTTCTGTCTGCCTGCTGTGCACCTTCACGTAGGCGCTGGCGACTCCACGGTGAGCAGAGATCATGATCCCTGCTTGGTAGAGCTGCCATTCTAGCGGAGAGAGACAGTAAGCAGTAGAAGTAAAGAAGAGACCACAGGTGGGCAGGGTCCATAGCCAGGCGACGGGAGGACTGTGTGACACTCCCCCGAAGGGGTGATGTGGCTCAGGCCAGATGGCGATAACACAGGACGTGAGACATGGTCTGAGTCCAGAGGTGTTGAGGGTGGATTTGACAGAATTTGCCCGATGGATGTGCAGTGGAAGAGGTGAAGGAGAGGAGGCAGAGAGGACTCCAGGTTTCTGGCCCAGGCAACTGGAGAATGACGTTGTCATCAGCTGAGATGGGACCGTGCAGTGGAACGGGCCAGGGAAGGTTGGGGGCTTGGCTTTGGACATGTTGGTTTTGAGATGCGCACTAGATACCCAGGTGATTGTTCCGAGTAGGCATTTGGGTTTCTGGGTCTAGAGTTGGGTAGTAACTGGTGAGTCATTAGCGCATGAATGGTGCCTGAAATGGGGGACCCAAAGAGACGGCCAAGGGGGTGAGAGTGGACCGAAAGAGGACCCCAGCCAGCAAGGTGGGAAGGTCTCTACAAGCCAAGCAAAGAGAGGTACCAAGAGGGAGTGACCATCTCATGCTGCTGCTTCAAGGTCAAGTTCGACATGTCCTGTGTGGCTGATAGTTGTCCTTGGCTCCAGCCTCATGGAGGAGGCGGCAGGTGGAGGAGAGTGAGAAGAAGGTTGGAGACAGCGAGTGTAACCAACTCTCTGAAGCATCTGTGCTGTGGAGTGAGCGGTTGTGGGTGCAGGGGGACAGAAGGTTTTTAATTCAGTGACCGGCTAAGTGTGTGCGCTGAGGGATGGCCCAGTAGAGAGTGAAAGCTTCAGATGAGGGTGGGTGAGTGGCCTTCTGGTTGCTTCAGTTTCCCCAGCCCTCAAGTCTGTAGGAGTCTCCCAGGAGCAGGGACAGGCATGGGACAGGCGTGGGGCTGCAGGCAGCGATCGAGGCTGCTGTCGGTAATTGAAGGTGGCGAGCGCTTGTCTTCAGTCCAGTCCCGCTGCCCAGCGCAGGCAGTCACAGAGAGTGGGACGAACTAGGGCTCCGGCTTAACCAAGGGCGAGGGGTGAGTGGCCAGGGCAGCCGCTGGAGCGGGAGAGGATGCGGCCGGGCAGGAGCAAGGCTGGCGGCTCAGTGGGGTGGTGTCCCAAGGCCACTTCACCTCTTCCCTTCCTAGTGCCAGGCCCTGCAACTGCTTCCCTGGGCAGCTCCTGCCCCCTCGTGGGCCCCAAGCAGGTGCAGCCTTGACCCCTCTCTGCTGCTGAAGGGGGTCAGTGGGCTCTCGCAGCCCTGATGTGGCCTGGCCACCTCCGGCAGCCGCAGCCTGAGTCCTCAGGCTCCTGATAGTTCCCTGAACATCACCTGCTCTGTCCACACCTGGGTTCACGCTCTTCCCTCTGCCTGTGGTGCCCCCTTCTCTTTGCCACCCAGTTTCATCTCCTGCCTGTTCAAACCCTCCTGTCCTGCATGACCAGCTGAGATGCCACCACCTCCAAGAAGCCTTCCTCTCACCCTCCCCCCCATTCCTCCCTCCCCTGGAGCGTGTTTCCATTTAACCTTCAGTCACCCGGAAAGGGCCTGGCCAGAGCATTTGCTGGTGGGTGAACCAAAACGCTGAGTCGTCCGTTCTTGGTGCTGGACAGGCTGACACCAGCTCCCCCTCCCCTAGGTGTGCCTTCTTCCACGGCGAGGTTGACAAGCCAGCCCAGGGCTTTTTGCACCGGGGCAGACGGAAGCCAGTGACTATAGCCATCAGTCTGGAGGGTGTACATGTCATCGACAACAGGGAGAAGGTACTTCCACCTCCTCTAGGATGGGACCTGGGCATCTCAGTGGAGGAGAGTGGGGTCCTAACTTAGGCCTTCTGGGTTCCCCTGGCCTTGGGGCAGGGTGGGTAGCCTGTCTGGGAGGCCTGAGGGCCCCTCCCTCCATTGGATGTCCCTGGGGCTTCACTGTCATCCTGGGAGCTTTTCTGGGTCTGCTCTGGGTCAGCCCTGTGTGCTGGGCAAGGGGTGGCCAGGGCAGGGGCTCAGCTAGGGCAAGGAGGCTGCAGCTGGATGTAGCCTCTGGCTGGGGGGAAGCCCGTAGGGGTGGCTGTTCTGCCTTCCAATGGCTGGAGAACAGCTGCTAGTTTTCCCGACGTGCCCACTGCCAGGAGCCCTCCTGGGCTATCTGAGTCCTGCTTCTCATCCTGCATTGGCTGCCTGTGATGAAGGTGGTGTTGGCAACTGCCCTGGGGGCAACTTCTGGTCATCTCAGAGAGGGATTCCAGCCCCTCCTGGGTGTCTGCGCTGAGGTGCTATCCAGCTGACCTTGTGGAAAACGTTTCCCCTCCCCACTTGTCTCTTCCCCCACATAACTACCCTGGCTGTTGGGCTTGACCCGCTGGTGGGAAGTGCTATGGGTTAGGGTGTCCCAGCCTCCCTGGACCCCGCCCCCTTCCAGGGTCTGATGAAAGCAGGGACTCCTGTCCTTGGGGAAACTCACACAGGAATTTATTTATTTTAAGTGTTTCTTTGTTGATTTCAGAGAGAGGAAGGGAGAGGAAGAGAGAGATACAAACATCAATGATGAGAGTCATCCATCAGCTGCCTCCTGCACGCTCCCCATTGGGGATCAAGCCCGTAACCCGGGCATGTGCCCTGACCGGGAATTGAACCGCAATCTCCTGGATCATAGGTTGATGCTCAACCGCTGAGCCATGCCAGCTGGGCTCACATAGGAATTTAGACTCAGCCTTGGAGTTAAACATCCAGGAGTCCCCTCCTGGTGGTGCTGGGCCAGGTGAGGTAGGGGAGCAGATGTCTACCTGGGGTCCCAGCTCTGCCTTTCCCCCTGGCCAGCACGTCCTGCTGGGCCTGCGTTTCCAGGAGCTGTCCTGGGACCACACGTGCCCCGAGGAGGAGGAGGAGCCTGTCCTGTGGCTGGAGTTCGATGGGAACAGCGAGGGCATACCAGTCAACAAGCTCCTCAAGATCTACTCCAAGCAGGTTGTGGGTGCTGCCTGCCCTGGGCTGGGGGCTGGGTGGGGGTGGGGGGCAGCTTAAGGATCCCGACCTATTGAAAGCTCCAGTCTGGCTGGCAAGGAGGTGAGAGGGCTGCTGAGGGCCTGGGGACCCGGGGAGCTGACTTCTACTGATCTGGAGCCACCCTGGGGAGTTCGCTGGGTGTGGTCTGGGGCATTCACACACATCAGGTGGCAGCTGTTGGTTGAGGGCTTCCCAGTGCTGTGCGACCACCCCCACCAGCTCCTTCTGTCCTTGAGGCCCCCTGTGAGTTGGCTGCTCTCAGGTGAGGAGCAGGCAAGGAAGGGCTAAGGTCCCTCGGCACCTGTGCCGCTTTCACCTTTATTTATTGTCCAGTTCATTCAGCACCAGGTCTTCCCACCCTGCTCCCAACCTGCCCCTCTCCCCCTCATCATGGAGAGGTGGCCATCTCCCCCCACTCCCCCCACGGCCCAGTCAGGATTGTGTTCTTCTCGCCTGTCCTTTTAGCACCTCTGCAGGTAGACATTGTCCCTGGGACTCGTGTCTCTTAAAACACACATCCCATGTCCCTTCTGCCACTGCCTGGGGTCCCTAGACCCTGCAGAGCCACACAGCTCTCCACACTCTCTGTGCCTCCCTTCTGATCCCTCACCCCTTCGTAGCCAGCCTGCACCCTGCCCTCCCCCTGCTCCCTGCACTCCCCCTGCTCTAAGCCCAGCAGCCTCTGCTTTGCCTGTGCAGTGCACAAGTATCTGCCTGCCTTCTCTGTCTCAGCCTGACTGTGCTCCTGGAGACACCTCTCCTGTCCCCTGACCTCTGGCCTCTTTCCTGTCTTCCTCGCTGGCCCTCCTTTCCTGGGCCTCTCCAGGGACTTCGCTCTCTGCTCATGTACAGGAGTTCTTCCTTCTCACAACTTTGAATACTCCACTTACCCACCTTTACGCTGGGTAATTTCTACTTTACTAGTTTAGAGCTCTTTTTTAAGTAAGTGTTGTATTGAGTTATAATTTACATACAGAAAAGTACCCAAATCCTAAGTGTATAACTCAACAAATATTCCCAAAACAAACCCATGTGACACCTTTCAGATTAGGAAGTAGAACCAGGACCTCAGGAGACCCCTCAAGCACCCTTCCAGTTCTTTCCCCCACCAAAGGACCCCCTCCATCCTGACTTGATTCACGCCAGAGTCGTCTGGCAGCAGGTTCCCCTGGTGTGTTCCTCCGTCTGGTTTCTGCCACGCAGTGTTGAGCCCCTGAGCTCATCCTTGCTGCACAGAGCAGTGGTTTGATCTTTCATGATGCTCTCTGGTATTCCAGCAGCTGAATTTGCCAGCCTTGACTTTTCTGTCCTATAGCTGATAGACACTGGGTTTCTAGTTTTGGACTGTTGCAAACATCGCTGCTTATTTTGGTTTGCACCCGGGAGCGCAGTAGCGGCATCACAGGGCACGTGCTCAGCTGTAGTGGACACTGCCAGTTTTCCAAAGCAGTCCTACTGTTTGCACTCCTCTCCAACACCTAGTATTGTCAGTCTCTTTTTTTTTAAATAGATTTTTAGAGAGAGAGAGGAAGGGGGAGAGAGAGAGTGAAACATCGATTGGCTGCCTCCTGCATGCGCCCCAACCAGGGATCAAACCTGCAACCTGGGCATGTGCCCTGACCTGGAATCGAACTGGGGAACTGGGGACGTTTTGATGCACAGGACAACACCCAGCCAGCTGAGCCACACTGGCCAGGGCTGTCAGTCTCTTTCATTTTAGCCACTCTGATGGGTGAGTAGTGGTATCTCCTTATTATTTTCTTTTGTTTTTAGTCAACTTCATTGAGGTATAATTTACAATAAAATGCACCCATTTTAAGAGTGAGTTTTGATAACCACCAACCACCACCACAGTCAAGCTATGAAGCAGCTTATTTGCTGTTAGTGCATCTTCCTAGAGGTGAAATGTCTGTTCACATCTTTTTTTTTAAAAGATTTTTATTCTGTTGATTTTAGAGAGAGAGGAACATCAGTGTGAGAGAAAAACACCAATCAAACAGTGCTTCCCACATGCGCCCAGACCAGGGATCAAACCTGCCACTTTTGGGTGTACAGGACAGCGCCCCGACCAGCTGAGCCACACCAGCCAGGGCTGTTCACATCTTTTGCCCATTTTTATTGGCATTATTTCTGTCACCCTCAAATCTCTTTATGGTTTTAATTGGCATTCCCTGTCACCCCCCCAGTGATGGTGCTGAGCACATTCTCTTTCTTTATTTGCCATCTGGAAAGTCCCTTTGTTGAAGTCTTTCACCAATTTTCCTTTGGAGTTGCCTTTTAAAAATTGTTCTGTAGCCCAGCCAGTGTGGCTCAGCAGTTGAGCATCGACCTATGATTCAGGAGATCGAGGTTCCTTTCCCAGTCAGGGCACATGCCTGGGTTGTGGGCTCCATCCCCAGCAGGGGGCGTGCAGGAGGCAGCCAATCAATGACTCTCTCATCATTGATGTTTCTCTCTCTCTCCCTTTCCCTTCCTCTCTCTGAAATCAATTTTCTGAAATTGTTTTGTACATTCCTCTTGTGATTTCAGACTCATCTCTTCATCTGCTATTTGATACGTCCCCTTAGCTATCCCAAGAATTTTGCTTTCTCCAGAATGTCATATAAACACGTTTCACAGTGCCTACACATTTACCCAAGAGAAATAAAGATGTATGTCCACACAAAGACTTGTGCTGTAGTGTTCACAGCAGCTTCCTTTGTAATAACCAAAGAATTGGAAACAACACAAATGTCCGTCGGCTGGGAACTGATAGAGAAAGTCGTGGTACAGCCCTGCAGCATGCGCCCTGCATGCAGCTTTGAGACTGGCTGCTTGGGAGCGGCATCCGGGTTGCCTGGTGCGTCGCATTCCTTTTTGCTGTTGAACGGTCGCGTGTGGGTGTACTACAGGTTAGCTCTCCACGGGTTGAAGGATGCTGGGGTGTTTCTAGTTTGGGGATTTTGTGAATAAAGCTGCTGTAAACGTGCACAGGCTTTTGGGGGCCTAGGTCTTCATTTTCCTTGTATAAACGCGTGGGGGGATTGATGGGTTATGTGGTAACATAGGGCCGGCTCACTGCCCTGCACCAGACTTTTCCTAAGTAGCGCTGTTTTGGTTTCCGCCAGCGGTGGCTCAGTTCAGTCGCTCTGCGCTCTGGCCCCACACTTGGCACTGTCGTGTCAGCTTCATTTGTTTGTTTGCCACTCTAATGACTGTATAACAGCGATATGTCATTGTGGCTTTCATTTGCGTTGTCCTGATGACTAATGCTGTTGAGCATCTTTTCATGTGTTTATTTGCTATCCATATGTCTGTTTTGATGGAGTGTCTATTCCAAGTATTAGTCCTTTGTTTATTGAGTTATTTGTTTTTCTTACTGAGTTGTGAGCCTGTTACATAGTCTACATACCAGCCCCTTATCAGATGTGGGTTTTGCAAGTGTGTCCTTTTGGTCTGTCTTGACTTTTTGCTTTCTTAACAGTGTCTTTTGCAGAGTTTTTAAGCCATCGGTTCATTAATTTGTATTTTCTCTATTTATTTGGTCTTTGATTTCTTTCACTAACATTTCATAGTTTTCAGTATATAGATCTTGTACATCTTTTATTAGACTTATCCCTAAGTGTTTCTTTTTCTTTTTGGTGCTATGCAGCCTTTTGAGACTGCATAGTACATGGTATGTTTTTAATAACTTCAGTATCCAGTTGTTTATTGTGATATATAAAAATACAGTTAATTTTGTTATCCACATGTCCTTATATCTTACAAGCTTGTTAAACTCACTCACTAGTTCTAGTAGCTTTTTTGTAGATTTTGGGGGATTTTCTCTGTTGACGATGAATTATATCATCTGTGAATAGGGGCAGGTGTGCCTGACTTTCCAGCCTGCATGCCTCTTCCTTGTCTTGCCTGGTGGCAGTCACTTGGGTCTCCAGGACAGTATTGAGTCAGTGTGAGCAGACATCCTTGACTTGCTCCTGATCTTAGGGAAAAGCATTCAGTCTCGCTCTCAATATGTGTGCTGTTAGCCGTGGGTTTTTCATAGACGCCCTTCATTAGGTTGAGGCAGTGCCCTTCTGTTCCTGGCTTGCTGAGTTTTATCTTGAATGGCTAGTAAGTTGTGCTGACTGTGGCTAAGTTTCCATGGCAGCCCCCCTGAACCTCAGGAGCATCACTCTGTGTTAGAGGAACTCAGAGGGCGTTCCTCTGTATTTGCAGCTCAGGGCCCTCTGTCCCGCCCGCCGGGCATCCCACTGCCCGCTCTCCCTGGGTAGAGAAAAGGAGGTGGGTACAGAGAACAGGTCACCGACACTGACACCGATACCTACACTGGCCCGCCCTTCTAGATCATGCAGGGTTTGGGCCTGGGGGAGGGGGGAAGTTGCTTTCAAGAGGCCCCAGGCTGCACTGTGGGTAGGCAGGGGCTGGGCCACAGCTGTCACCAGGGGGCCACCTCCTTGGCCTCTGAACTCACTGCCCTCGGTGGGTTCTCCTCTTGGGAGTCCCTGCTGTCCCTCACTGTAGTAAGGCACAAGGTAGGCACCCCGTGAGCACGCTGCCTGACTGTGGGACACCGCCCACGGCAGCTGTCTGTCTGGATCTGTCAGTCCCCTGACATCCCCGTCTTATTGTGCCCAGTCTGTGGTCACTGACATCTGGTCACTTCTCCTTTTATATTAGCATGTGTTATGTTTCAAATCTGTTGAGAAGGCTTCACTTTTGAAGAATGTGCCAGAGGGAGCCCCCACCACGGCCTCACAGCTGCCTTCCTCTCCTCGCGCCCTGCAGGTTTCTCCCAGAAAGGCCTGCCTGGGCCCTGTTCCTTGTCCTCTCCATACCCCCTGCCCTGCCTGCTCCGGCCCACTGCCTTCCTGCCCTGTCTTCTAACTAGAATGCTCTCTTTCCCACCCGCCTCCCAGACCTGCGACCCCTCACCCACCAGGCCTGGCCTCTAACGTCACCCCACCCGCCTGCCCCGCCGCTGGCCCACAGAGCACCTGCCCCCACGTCCTTTCTTGTGTGAATGGTATTTGTTCCCTCATATGCCTCCCCACCAGAGAGAGGGCAGGGGACGCCCACCTGGCTCCTCTCGCGCTACAGGGGATGGGAAGGCTGGGCCTGGGCCCTCACACCCCTCTCCTCCCCAGGCTGAACTGATGAGCAGCCTCATCGAGTACTGTATCGAGCTGAACCAGGCCTCAGAGCCCGCCGTCCCCCAGGACAGTGCCTCCGGCCCCGCCTCGGTCCCTGGCTCCTTGCCCCCTCCCACTCAGCGACCCCAGCTGCGGAGACAGGGCAGTGTGGTGTGCAGCCGGATCCAGCACCTCTCCACCATCGACTATGTGGAGGAGGGTGAGTGACCTCTTCATGGTATATACGTCTACATGCACGCATGTGCTTGCACGCGCGCCTGTGCACGTGCTTGCCACGGGAGCTCTGGGCTGAGTTAGCCTCCAGCTGGAGGGACCTGAGAGGAGGGCTGGGTGTGAGCGTCACATCTGAGCTCTGATCAGGAATTGGAAGCCTCTGGGGCCCTGGCAGGAAGAGTCCCGGTCCGTCCCTCCTCACTGCTGCGTCTGCAGATGTGCTCACGCAGGAGCATCCAGATGTGAAAAATAGAGAGAGAGGGAAGGAGGGAGAGGGGGTGAAATAGAACGTCAGCTGCCTCCTGCACTCCCCCTCCTGGTGTCAAGCCCGAAACCCAGGCGTCCCTCCTGTCCTGGCCAGGAATTGAACCAGCGACCTCTTCTTGTATGGGACGACACTCAGTCCAGTGAGCCACACCGGCTGGGCTAGAGTGCCGTTTTTATCACGTCACATCAGAGGTGCGTGATTGACATGACTATGCCTGTTGATGTTGACCTTGATCACCTGGCTTGAAATTTTGAACTTATAAGAGTTCTTTTCGCTGTATTGAGGCTCACCTTCAGCCAGTCATGTATGTTGCAGGTATTTTGTTTCTTTGAAAAGGTTTTAGCAAGAGCTCCTCAGGCACTACCGCTGGCCCAGCATCAAACACAAACCCTGATTTGCCTGTGATTGGGGGGCTGGCAACAATCCCCACCCGCCCATCCTGTCACTAGTGGAAGAGTTGGGGTGCAGGGGGATGAGGCCAGAAAGTTGGCAGGTGTGCAAAGGGGAGCTCAGCCCAAACCAGGCTTCCTGGGCCTGGGCGCCTTCTCCAGGAAGCCCTCTTAGTGTGTTCCCTCCTGCCCCACAGGCGAGCAGATCAAGCCGGTGAAGCCAAAGCGCAGCACGTCCTTCTTCAGCCGGCAGCTCTCCCTGAGCCAGGGGAGCTACACAGCGGTGCAGCCCACCGAGAGCCTAGAGCAGAGCTGAGGAAGCGGTGCCAGCAGGAGAAGGGCGGGGGGGGGGCAGGCTGTGGCCCTCAAGTTGGGGAGGAAGGCTACCTTGCAGCATGGAGCAGTGACTTCTGTGCCTGGGACAGTGCCTGGGCTGTGCAGAGCTGGCTCAGGGATCCCACACAGCCCCTCTCACAGCCTGTCTGCCCTTCCCTTGAACTCTGGGTCCGACTGCCATCTCAGGACCATCTGATCAGGCCCCAGTCTCCTCCTTTCACCCAGTGGTCACCTGTGTGTCCCCTCAAGATGGACAGTGTCCCCTGCACCTAAGTCCCCACTGGTCGCTCCCATGGCAGGAGGCCAAGAAGTAGGGCTCGGAACCTGCAGGTCAAGTGTGTGTCTTTGGTCTGTTCCCTGGACTTTGGTGACCACATCCCGGCATTCCTTTGGCCTGCATCCCCACACACACTGCCAGGCGGGGCCAGCACTGTAGGGGTAGGACGGGGCCTCCCAGAGTTGAACCATGGCAGACCCGGAAGGAGAGGCCCCACTCATGCCCTCCCTGGCTGGGTGGGACTGCAGGGAGCTGGGCAGGACCCCGCTCAGGGGGCCCTGTGCCCCTCACTCAGGCCTCTCTTGCTGGCAGGAGATACTCTGACCAGAAGGAAAGTGCCATTTTGCTAGCTTTTGGTGATGTCACTGTGCTGGAGGTGGCTGTCCTGTAACCAGCACCCACTCCACACTCAAAGAAGTTCACAAACACCCATGGGCTTTGGGTTTTAGTTTTGGTCTTTTCTCATCAGCTTTGGTTCCAAGAAGCCTGTGAACTCTGGGGCAACTAGAGAGAACCCCACCACCTCAGAGCTACTGGCTCCCCTCAGAGGTGGTGCTGTGCTTTCCCTCTGGCCTGACCCTGGGGGCTGGCCCATGCTGGGAAGTCCCACCCCAACAGCAAGTCTCCTCTTTTCTTGGAAACAAATGACATGACAGTGAATGTGGTGCTGGATGGGGCCAGCCCAGGAGGAGTTCCTTCCCAGCCCTTGGGCTCCTCTGTGGTGGGGCCTGGCTCTGGGTGCTTCTTGGGACTTTCCGCTGGAAAGAGGTGGCCTGCCCAGCACAGGGCTGCCTTTGTCTCCCCTTCTTGGTGGGAACTGTGGGTGAAGAAATGCGAACCGCTTGGCTCCAGATGCCAGAGCCCATCTCCTCCTCTGGTGGCTTTTGAACATACCAGGTGTTGAGGTGGGCTTGCCTTCTGGCAGCAGGGACTTCATTATTTGTCGTAATAAATAGGTGTCTCAGCCTTTTGGAATGTCCCAGCCAGAGTATACCTTGTCTCTTCTCCTGGAGTCACCCTCACTGGCTGCCCAGCCCATCTGGCTCCCAGCCCTCGGGTCCTCCCCTCTCACTCACAGTTTTGATGCCAAGTGAATTCTTATCTGATGGGCCCAGGGGCCTGTGGGTGTGGTGGGTGTGTGAGTACACAAATTACTTGTTTTTACTCTTGTCTTTCCTTTGTTTTCTAAGCCTCCATTGTGCCTTAACCTTTCCTGCCTACCCTTTGGGACAAAGCAGCATTTTACTGAATGTCCTTTGAATATTTTGATTGTTTTGTACCACGTGAATTATTAATAATAAAATCAGTTTCCAGTAAATTTGGGATAGTTTATGGTATGAAATAATGGGAGTGTGTTAATTACAGCCTGGGAGCCGATTACAGGCTTGTAGGGGGCAGCCCTTGGGCTCCCAAGCTAAAGGCCATGGAGCAGCCAGAGTGAAGTTTCCCGACCTTGATGGTTGGTCAGGGTAAGAAGGTCCATGAGGGGCTTGGGGTTCATGGTGGGAACCAAGGTGGGAGCTCTGCGGGGAGGCAGGGAAACAGGGAGCAACAGAGGTTGGCTGGGGCCTTCCTGCCTAGTGAACCTAAGCCACTTATCACTGGGCTCCTCCCCTCACCTGGGGGGTGAGGTCCCAGGCACAGAGAACCCAGGCAGTTTGGGCGATTCTCAAGCCCTCCTTGGCTCCTCATGCCCTGGGCCAGGGCAGGGAGCAGTTTGTTTCCCACAGATGTTGTTGGGCAGGGACAGCACTGGGCCCGCCCTCTGGGGTGCTGTGGGCCCCCTGGGAAGCTGAGCCGCAGTGGTAAACACGGCTTCGCTCCTGTGGGGTGAGCATCACCTGGAGGTGGGGGAAGACCTGCGTCCAGAAAGCTGGGAGGACCGGGTTCACCTGAGAGGCCTGGGCCTGCCGATGGCACAGACACCCCCACTCCGGTGGGTGAGGGAGCACCAACAGCCTGGGGCCTGGCAGGCCTGGGGCCCTTTCTCCACATAGGCCCCTCTGCCCTTACACCTGTGTTAGTTTCCTGTGGCTGCTGTAACAAGTGACCACAACCTTAGTGCCTTAAAACAGCACCTTCACTATCAGAGAGTTCTGGACTCAGAAGTCTGAAATGAGCCTCGCTGGGCTTCGATCAAGGTGTGGGCAGGGCTGCATCCCATGTGGTCGGTCGGCGAGAATCCGTTTGTTTCCAGCTTCTAGAGGCCGCCTGCATCCCCTGGCTCATGGCCCCTTCATCTTCAAGCCAGTGAAGGTGAGGGGCTCCTCAGAGCCCTCAATCTGGCTTTCCCTCCTCCTCGCATCTCTTTCTCTGACTCCTCTGCCTTCCACTCCCATGTTTAAGGACCCCTGTGATTACTGCACTGGCTGGAGGTGGAGAAGCCAGATCATCTCCCTACAGCCAGCTGATTAGCTACCTTAATTTCCCTTCACGGGCTCTGGGGATTAGGACACAGGCTTCTTCTTTTTTTCTTTTTTTTTTTGTTTAAAATATTACAGATGTCCCTTTTTCTCCCCAATGAGGACACCGGCCTCTTGTGCCTACCACACCACCCCTTTCACTGCGGCCCTCCCTGCTTTGTGCTCTAGGCCGGCGACATTTACCTCCTTTCTGCCCACCTCTGACCAGGCCCCCTCACACCCCCTGCACTGGTGGCCAGGTGAGCAGGAGTGGCTGCTTGTCTGTGTGCAGGCTCAGGCTGAGTGGGGGACCCCTCCCAACACCATGGAGGATCTTCTGCTCCCGGCGTACCCTTTCTGTGGCTCGCTCTGCCCTGGCTTCCTCCCCAGGACCACAGCCCAGTCTCCACCTCTGCCCAGTTGTTTCTTGGAGCATAAATTCAGAAAGTGTCTCCCCTGCCACACATACATACACCATTTCAGTCTTCAACGGGCTCTCCTCCACAGAGGGCCTCTGTGCTCTCTGTGCCTGCCCAGCACCGCAGGGAAGGAGAGGAGAGGAGAGGACACTGCCCACCCCGACCACCAAACTGTATGTGCCC